TCACGACACTGTTTCGCGGACACCCAACAATATCTCCACACCTAGCCCGCACTCACCCCACAGTACTTCAAAAGCAAACCCTTCTACGCCGAGGTCTGGGCTTTAGGGGTGTTGCCGAGCTCCTCCCACGTACAGCAGCTGGCATCTTTGTTTTTGATGTTTAACAGATGTTGCCCTTCAGGTTTTTGTAGTGTTAAAGCCTTCTTGGCAGCACCTGCGTTTTGCACGGTATTTACAGCGTTTTCGTACTATCCGACCACCTGTGCTTCAGAAGCTTCTTCCCCGTCGAGTTTGCAACTCCAACTGCTGTCGCAGTTTTGGGACCTGAGCCTCTGCAACTTCACCGGCTGTGACAGTTAAGGCAAGTGAACCTCTGTAATTTCTGCAACTCTCACAGATAGGGAGCCTCAGCCCCTGCATCTTCTGCAACTGCCGCAGTTAGGGAGCCTAGAAGCTGCCACTGGGGTTGGCTAGTAGTAGTAGTAGTANNAGTGTAGTGTAGTGTAGTGTAGTAGTAGTAGTAGTAGTAGTAGTAGTAGTAGTAGTAGTGTAGTAGTATTGTAGTAGTAGTAGTAGTAGTAGTAGTAGTAGTGGTCGAAGTAGTAACAGGGGTCGTAATGGTAGTAGTCGTCGTAGTAGTAGTAGTAGTAGTAGTAGGAGTAGTAGGAGTAGGAGTAGTAGGAGTAGGAGTGGTAGTAGTATTAGTAGTAGTAGAAGTAGTAGTAGTAGTAGTAGTAGTAGTAGTAGTAGTAGCAGGAGTAGTAGTAGTAGTAGTAGTAGTAGTAGTAGTATTAGTAGTGGTAGTCGTGGTAGTAGTGGTAGTAGTGGGAGCAACAGCAGCCACGGTTTAAGTATGCGCATTCATGTAGGACTTGATTAAGGCTCTGTGTAAGGGTCTATCGGTTTTTGCAGGGTTCGAACATGAGTCGCACAAGTTTAAAGGTGGATTAGGGATTAGGGCTTGCAGAAACGATTCGGGCGCCTTTCTTTGGCCAGCTCCTGGATCCTGTGCGGACAAAGGCTTGGAGGCTTCTGGCTTGGGGTTCGCATTTGAGGGTTTGATCCTGAAGAGTTCTTGCAGGGTCAAGCTGTTGACTCCCTTCAAAATCGAAAACCAGAGAGGCTTTCCATAATGAGGATACCACGCAAACCCTAAACCCCTTACACCCAGATTGCCATCCCCCCCAAAAAAAACCTAAAGCCTAGTCGGGCTAAAGCCTCAATAAGAAAAGCTCATGTGCTCAGATTGCGCCCCGGATCTGCTGCCTTCCCTTGTTGTCCAGGGGCTTCAGGGTGCTAGGCGTTGGTTAGGATTTGGGGTTTAGGGCTTTAGGGTTTGAAGATTTAGGTTTTTCGTTTGAAGGTTTCGGTTTAAGGAAGTGCAAGGGCTCGCCCAAACCTACTGCACCGTTGCATGCGTAGCCGGCTACAAAACCCTAAAGCCCAAACCTTCTAAACTCTAAACTGACCACAACTCACCAAACATACGGCCCAACACCCCTGAGCCCCAAAACGGCCCAACACCCCTGAGCCCCAAACCCTGATAACCCCTTGTAGAAACCGTTATCCTCTACAGAACCTCCCTTTATGGGACTCGATTCCTCCTGTGCGCGCCTCTTGTAGAGGGGGCTCTCCAGCGCTTCAGCGACCAGGTGGAGCGGCGGCTCTCGGAAGATGATCTCCTCGGCTGCTACTTAGGGGGTTTAGGGCTTAGGGTTTAGGGTTTAGGGTTTAGGGTTTAGGATTTAGGGTTTAGGGTTTAGGGAGGTTTGGAGTTTTGGCTCATTATGAGATGATCCTTTCGGCTGCTTGGAGTTTGGGGCTTTGGGTTTAGGGGCACTTGCAGAGTTCACAGGCTGTTAGGCTTTGTGGGATTTAGACGGTTTCGGGCTTCTACGGTTTTTGGTTGCATTGGGCGTTCGGGCTTTGAGAGCGTTCGGGGTTTTTCAGGGGTCTATGGGGCCCATGGGGCCTATGTGGGTTTAGGGTTTAGGGTTTAGGGTTTAGGGTTTAGGGTTTAGGGGGGCTTATAGGCGTCATGGGGCGTATAGGGCCTATGAGGTTTATATGGCCGAGCACTACATTCCGAAGGCTATGGCTACCCACCCTATGCAGCGAGGAAGGGCGAAGAAGGGCTCGGAAACCGCAAATGGCTCTGCTTCCACCCGAAGACTTCGACTTCGAGTGGGGACGGAGGGCACTCAACTACAAACATTAAATCCCTACCTGGTACCCCAACCCCACTTGCCGAGCCCCGCGCACCGGGCTGGAACGATCTAGAACTCCTGTTTGGAGGCTACACGGCGAAGGGGCTCAGGCCGCGACCCTGAACCCCAACTCTCATCTCAACCCAGGGTTTTGCCAGCTCCCGAAACTGCACATGGTGTCATGCCGCGATACTAAGCTACCACCGAAACACGGGCTCGCCAGAACCGAAGCTCAACGTGGGCTCCAAATCAGAGTGGCCATCATGTGTACCTTAACGCCAGCCCTTAATCCCGGAGCCCCAAACCCTCCTCAGACAGTATCTCCTTAGACACTAAGGCCCTAAAACTTGAGGCGCTACGACCCCAAAATCCAGAAGGATCTTAACTGCTCTCTCCTCAGCAGAACTCACGGATCAAAAAGGTGGGTTCAGGGCTTGGCTGTTGCTTCGGGTTGTAACATATACGATATTGGGTGTATGTTGACATTTCCCGAAAACCAGGGTTCCGTATATTGCACACTCAACAAAAAAGAGCTCCAGATGTGCTATCCCGAACTGTAGATATCGCCTAGAAATTCGGGCGATCTTGGATCTCGGATCGTCGTAAGCCCTCAACCCTGAGCAAGGGGCAACATGCCTTTGCATGTACTGCGCACCCTGCAAAGCCCAAGATTGAAACAACTGCCATGCAGTGCTGCCCTGCTTGACGTCTCGGGTTCAGGGTTTAGGGTTTAGGGTTCAGGGTATGGGCTCGCAGGGTTCAGGACGTTGGGGCTTAGGAATCAGCGTAGAGAGTTTGAGGCTTTGGCTTCAAGGCTGAAGGTCGCAAGCTTCAGGGCTGAGGCCCTCGTAAACCTTTTCAAGTCGACTCTTTTCAGGCCTGTGTAGGGTTTAGGGTTTAGGGTTTAGGGTTTAGGGTTTAGGGTTTAGGGTGTAGGGATCCTATTTGGGTTGCTTTGCCCTAAACTTTAAACCCTGACCCTAAACCCTAAACCCGAAAGCCCGGCCTTAGAATTCGGCCCTTCTCCTCGGTCCAAAGGCAACTGACCACCGCCCCCTGCCTGAGGAGGGGTAGAGACTTTGGGATGCAGGGATCATCAGGATATCAGGGTTTCGGATTTAGGAATCAAGGTTTAGGGTTTAGGGTTTAGGGTTATCAAGGTTTAGGGTTTGGGGCTTAGGCCTAGGCTATGGCGACGCTAGATCTGTCAGCAGCTTGACCGGCTTTCTGGCGAGGGTTGCAGCTTTCATTTTGGGTTCGGAGGTTTCGGGTCTGATGTTTAAAAATCTGGGGCAAGCCGTTTCGGGTGCGAGCATAGTGGGCGTCCTGAATTGCCTTAATCTGGGAGTGTTGAAAATTTGATCTACGCTGTACAGTCGGGCCTTCAAAAATAACTTTCGGGATCTGCAGTTTTGGTGCTTCTTTGTTGGTTGGAAGTTTCGACTCCTTGTTCGTCGAGGCGGTGCAAAGCCGTGCAGTGCTACGGGAAGGGATTAGTCTCAACGCTTGGAGCATTTAGGGTTTGAGGCTTTGGTTTTGGGTGTGGGTGGCTTGTCCGACGTTTCGAGGCCTGTCGCCTCGACTGCTGCTTTCATGGGGCGTTGAATTTAGGT